CTGCCTATGACTCCAAAAACACCGTCGCCATCGTCAAATATGGATGTGAAAACATTATGCCTTGGGGTTTTTTTTCTGCCAAGGGGACAGGACAATTGCACCGCATCAAAGGGAGGATGGATGGGGCCATGTACCGTCTAATCTTGGGTGAGAACCTCCTTCCCTCAGTCAGGGCTTTGAAAATGGGTCGTGGTTGGGTATTCCAGCATGACAATGATCCAAAACACACGGCCAAGGCAACAAAGGATTGGCTCAAGAAGAAGCATATTAAGGTCATGGAGTGGCCTAGTCAGTCTCCAGACCTTAATCCCATAGAAAATCTGTGGAGGGAGCTGAAGGTTCGAGTTGCCAAACATCAGCCACGAAACATTAATGACTTGGAGAGGATCTGCAAAGAGGAGTGGGTCAAAATCCCCCCTGAGATGTGTGCAAACCTTGTGGCCAACTACAAGAAACGTCTGACCTCTGTGATTGCCAACAAAGGTTTTGCCACCAAGTACTAAAGCACGTTTTGCAAAGGGATCAAATACTTATTTCATTCATGAAAATGCAAATTAATGTATAACTTTTTTTGTAATGCATTTTTCTGGATTTTTTTGTTATTGTTGTGTCTCTCACTGTTCACATAAACCTACAATTGAAATTGTAGACTGATCATTTCTTTGTTAGTGGGCAAACTTACAAAATCAGCTGGGGTTCAAATAATTTTTTCCCTGACTGTATGTTAGAGGAGAAGTCGTCAATAATAACAGAAAAGGTTCTATTTGTCAAAAAAGAAATAAACCAGTTTAAGACCACGCCTCTCAGACCAACGAGGTGTTCGAGTTTCGACAGTAATGTCGCATGGTCAACAGTGTCAAAAGCTGCTGATAGATCTAAAAGAACTAGGATAACGAGGCGCTTGGCATCAAGGGCCGTGGTAATGTCATTGTGGACCTTCAGTAATGCAGACTCAGTACTATGACTGTCAGGTCCGCTCGGTGCAACCTGCCTCTCTTTCTTTTCTCTCTCCTGCTTTTCTCTTTTTTTGTGGGATCCGCACCTCACCTGTGTCGCTTTTTGTAATTAGTGACTCGTGGGTTGTCACGCACAGCTGAGGCGCGTTAGGTGATGATTTCCTTTCTTTACTTAAACCGCTGGCAGACGCTCCATTGTCGCCGGAGCATTACTTTAATAATCTTGCATACCTCGTAACAGGCCGATACTCGTGGTATGTACTGTACGTCATTTTGTTTCCCACACTGACAGTACCTGTGCTGTGGACCTCTTTGTATGTTTTTGTTTCTATAAGTTTAGTGATGCTTACGTAGAATTCAATGCTGACAGTTCCTGTGCGGTTGATTTCTTTTGTCGTTCGCCACTTTCTTCTTTTCACCTGTCCGTTCTCATTCTCCTACTCTCCTGGTTCCTGCCGTTAGCCTGTCTACTCCCCTGGTCGTCCTGGTCTCCTCCACCATCTCTACTTCACCCGGACTGTACATGTACATGGACCCTGTTATGTTGTTACTTTGTGTTTTTGTTCCATTAAACCCTTTTCTTTTCACTAGCACCTGGGTCTGCAATCTTGAGTCCTGCCATAGTTCACCCTCACCCTCCTGGTGAGGGGGACAAACCATAACAATGACGGGGCCTAAAACCTGATTGAAACTTGTCAGCAACATCCAGGTGATCCAGGTGAGACTGCAATTGGGTAAGAACAATTTTTTCCACAACCTTAGATAAAAAAGGCAGTAGGAAAATTGGGCGGAAGTTGGACAGAAGGGAAGGATCGGAGTTAGGTTTCTTAAGGAGTGGTCTCACTACCGCATGCTTAAGGGCGGTGGGAACTGAGCCCGACCTAGGGCAGCAGTTAATAAAAGTGACCAGAGAGGGCCCAACAGTGTCGATAACCTCCTTAATAATCCTGGCTGGGACAGGGTCCAGGGGGGAGGTGGCAGACTTTAGCTGTAACACACATTTCTTAAGTTGAGGCAGAGAGATCAGAATAAAGGAATCCAGGGTATGTAATACATGAGATACAGGCGATACATAAGGTAGAGGCTTGGGAATATTTTGTCTAATAGCCCAAACTTTATCAATGAAGTATCACTGAAATTCATTGCAAATCAGAACCGACCCCTCAGTGGCCAAAGCAACATCAGGATTAATAACCGAATTGATAGTTTTAAAAAGAACTCTTGGATGTTGGCTGTTTGAAATAATGTTAGATAAATATTGGGTTTTGGCATCTTTTACAGCTTTCTGATATGAGAGGAGGCTGCCCCTTAAAATGTCCAGGGAGATGTGCAGGCCATCCTTCTTCCATTTACGCTCCGCCTGCCTGCAATGTCTCCACAGGGCATGGGTGGTGTCGTTCAGCCAAGGGTCAGGAGTGTTTCTAGCCCTCCTCCTTCTAAAGGGACCGACGGACTCCATAATCTGGGAGCAAGTAGAGTCAAATGAAGAGAGGAAGGCATCAGGGCACGCAGGTGGGTTCTGAGCTCCTGAAGAGTAAAACTCAGAGGCTAAAAAAGCAGCG